TACCCACTGTATATATGAAAAATTATTCTTACTGAACTTTTGAATGGTAGTGTAATTACTAATTAAATTGCTTGTCTGAGGCTTATGGAAAATTAATAATAAATATTTGACAAATAATATATATATTTTTATTTTATATTTCAAAATAAATTAATAAAAGTACCATTAAAAAAACACATTAAACATTTTCTTATGTCATTTTCCAAATTGTTTCTCACAAATAAGAAATAAAGAAGACTGTATAGAAATAAAGTCCCATCAACTGGTCTTCCAACTTATATCTCATACTGGTTTCTCTCTCATATTCTTTTTTCTTCTTTCCATGGCTAACTGTGAGAACCTGAAGGCTGTGTCATAAGTTTATTTCCTGCTTGTGGCTCTTCTGATGTTTTGTCTATGAAAGACAAAAGGAAAACATTCAGTTGCAAGAATTCAAATCTAAATTGACATGGTTTTTAAATAGCAGGGAACTTATGTGTTCTGTTATGTATTAATTATACAAAAATAAAAGATGACTGGACAGTGCCTGGGTTCATGCTTTGCATTTCCGCATCCTCTTGAGTGCTGTCTTGATTTCTTTTTGATTTTACTGCACACATAAACATCATGGGCCATTTATATAGACTTAAATATCTACACTCTGTGTATTTTTAACAATAAACACTATTATGCAGATTAATTATTATACAGTACGTTCTGTTCACTGTATTACCTCTGTATCTTTTTATAATTAAAGTGAGTGCAAGAAGGGCAATTAATCCTGCGATGATACCCAACATCCACAGATTATATTTAAGAAAATCTACAGAGAAAAAGAGAAGAAAAGTGTTCAATCAAGACAGATGTTGCTGTTAAAAAGTAAACTGCCCCAATGTTTAGCAGGAAATTAGTTCTAGCTTTGGTCCAACAGATTAATTAATGTATGGATGAGTTCATGGATCAGTGGATACCTTTTCCCTGTCTGGAGGATGTAATAACAACACGGGTCTGTATTAGATGCCGTGTCTCTGCTTCTAAGAAGGCACATGTGTAGATTCCAGAAAGTTCTAACCCAGGGTTCTCCAGGCTTAGTGAAACATCCCCCTTCAATGCGTTGTCCTCCTCTAGTTCTGCGTGATCCCAGGAGCTGCTGGATTCATGTGTCTGGCTGTCATACGTGAGGATATCTGTGGTTTTGTTTGCTGCCGTAAAAGTCCAGACGAGAGAGAAGGACTGAAAATTCTTTGGAGCTTTACATGGAATAACCAGGTCTTTCCCTTCAAAGCCGGTAATTTCTGTGATGTATATGAGACAACATTGGTATTATCACCTTTATAACACATTATGCACATTATAGTATGATCAAGTTTTACCTTGCAGCTGTAATGAAGCTGTCCATGTCTGTGTGCCATATTTGGAGGTGATGTCACACACATATATATGATCAAGGCTGTTGTTCTGCTGTTTTAGGATGCTCTCCACTTTAAAGAGGCCCTTTCCGCCAGGAGCCATGCGGGTGATGGGCTGCAGAGCAGCAGGACTTAACCAGGGTTCTGTGCTCCACTGCACCACCGGTGCTGGGTAGACATCTTTAGTAGAGCACTGAATCAGCCCAGAGGGATTGATGTCAATGGAGATCGACCG